AATCTCGAAGATCCAGGAACTCATTCCTAATAATCTCACGACCAATCACAATCGAAATCACTGAGACCTCTAAGGTCACCAGGTCAGCTGTTAACAAGATCCGCGATCTGATTCCGGAAAGATCACATGAATCCCATACTTAAAAAGTCACAGTACATGACTCGAGTTTACACTTCGAAGTCAAACAAATCCAGGTCCCCTTGAACCTGGACCTAAGGTCTTAAAATCCTTCAAACAAATCCAGGTCCCTACGAACCTGGACCTAAGGTCTTAAAATCCTTCGAACGACTTCAGGTCTCTGTGAGCCTAAACCTAAGGTCTTAAAATCCTTAGTAACCTCAAAGGTCTTAAAATCCTTTAAACAAGCTAATTCAGGTTTCCACAAACCTAAACCTAAGGTCTTAAAATCCTTAGTAACCTCAAAGGTCTTAAAATCCTTTAAACAAGCTAATTCAGGTTTCCACAAACCTAATCTAAGGTCTTAAAATCCTCAGTAACCACAAAGGTCTTAAAATCCTTCGAAAACAAATCCAGGTTCCCAAAGAACCTCAATCTAAGGTCTTAAAACCCTTAACAAAATTCAAGGTCTTAAAATCCTTCGAAAACAAATTCAGGTTCCTAAAGAACCTCAATCTAAGGTCTTAAAACCCTTAACAAAATTCAAGGTCTTAAAATCCTTCGAAAACAAATTCAGGTTCCTAAAGAACCTCAATCTAAGGTCTTAAAACCCTTATCAAAACTCAAGGTCTTAAAATCCTTCGAATACAAATCCAGGTTCCCAAAGAACCTCAATCAAAGGTCTTAAAACCTTAACCAAACTCAAGGTCTTAAAATCCTTCAAAAAAAAAAAAATTTTCAGGTTCCCAAAAACCTCAACCTAAGGTCACAAAACCCTTAGCTGCGTTTGAAATCTAAAAGATATCCCAAGTAAATTCAGGTCCCAGAAACCCATTCTCGGGACCTCTCGCTAAAAGGCTACGGGACCTGTTATCAACAGGCTCCCCGACCTTCACCCGAAAGTTTCCTAGACCTCATGTCTAACGACTACGGGACCTGTTACTAACAGGACCCAGAATCCTTCGTTCAAAGAAGTAAACACTTCTACTTAGACGATCGAGTCCGTATTAAGGAAATCATCAAAACATCGACGAAGATCGAAGATCCTAACAAAGCAAGGGTTTAAAGGCCTCCTCAGGCCACAAGTCTTAACAAAGATAAAAAGAAAGCCCATTGGGCAGAAGTCTTGGGAACACGAAGACATAGTCGCTATCTCAACAAAGAGATAGAGATCAGGCG